AAAAAAGGAATCTGAGTCTTTTGAGATAAACAGTGCTACTTTCAGGCTTATATTTACTTTTTTGCTATAATCTTCAAATTACTTATAATTTTCGTTTTTCTGTTTCTTTTCTTTATCATTATATTACACAGATATTTGAGAAGTGTGTTGCTGCATATACGATGGCAACCCCTGTTACGCCAGCAACTCCCACTGAGAATCATGAGATGGTCCCTGAACATCAGATGATACCTGAACATGGGATGGTCCTCGAACATGAGATGGTCCTCGAACATGAGATGGTCCATGAACATGAGATGGTTGGACATGAGATGGTGCTCGGCAATGAGATAGTCCCTGGAAATGGAATGGTTTCAGACAGGGAGATGTTTCCAGGAAATGAGATGGTTCGTGCAGAGCCACAACCCAACCATGTAGAAACGCAACCTGGTAAGCGTAGGAAAAAGAAATCAATAGTTTGGGAGCACTTCACTATTGAAACTGTTGCTGTTGGGACTAGAAGGGCACAATGTAACCAGTGCAAGCAATCGTTTGCATATAGTACAGGGTCGAAAGTAGCAGGCACTAGTCATCTGAAACGCCATATTGCCAAAGGAACCTGCCCAGTAGTCTTGCGCAACCAGCAGAATGATCAATTGACCCCTTATAGTGCTCCTTCAAAGATGAGTGGATATGGGGGTAGTAATGGTACACCTAAACGACGTTATCGAACTGCTTCTACTCCTTATCTTGCTTTTGATCCAGACCGGTGCCGCCAGGAGATCTCCAGGATGATCATCATGCACGACTATCCCCTTCACATGGTTGAGCATCCAGGCTTTCTTACTTTTGTCCAGCATCTTCAACCTCGGTTTGATATGGTGAGCTTCAACACTGTCCAAGGAGATTGTGTGGCAACTTATCTTAGAGAGAAGCAAGCGATTCAGAAAGTGATTGAGAGAGTACCTGGGCGGATCTGCTTAACACTAGACATGTGGTCCTCCCATCACACTGTGGGTTATGTGTTCATAACTGGGCAGTATATTGATAGTGAGTGGAAAATTCACAGGAAAATACTCAATGTCATAATGGAACCATATCCAGATTCTGACACGGCTTTCAGCCATGCAGTTGCCGCTTGCCTTTCTGACTGGAGTATGGAGGGGAAGTTATTTTCTGTCACTATTAATCAACCAATCAGTGATGCAGCTGTTGATAATCTTAGAGCTTTACTCTCAGTGAAGAACCCTCTTGTGCTAAATGGTCAGCTGTTGGTTGGAAATTGTCTTGCTCGAACTTTGAGCAGCATTGCCCAAGATGCATTTTATTTTTTGCATGGAACTGTTAAGAAAGTAAGATATAGCGTAAAATATGTGAAAACATCAGAATCTCACGAGGAAAAGTTTATTGAGCTCAAACAGCAGCTTCAGGTGCCAAGCACAAAGACGTTGGCGCTTGATGACCGAACACAGTGGAACACAACATATGAGATGTTGTTGGCTGCATCAGAGCTGAAGGAAGTATTTTCATGCTTG